AAATAGTAACATGAAAAAACAAAATAACATATCCCCACCAAATACCAATAGTCCTCTAGAGGAGTACAATGAGAACCCCCTAGAGATAATGCAGGACATGGAACTCAAAAGAACAATCATAAACACGATAAAAGAATTCAGTGAATTTAAAGAACACACAAAGAAAGTCTGGAAGGAAGATAGGGATAAACTTGTGAATGAATTCAGAAAAGAGCTAGAAATATTGAAGAATACTCAGATTGAAATGAAGAAGGAAGTGAAACATTCAGTAAGCCAATTAAAAATGACAGGAGAAAGCCTCACCAATAGGATGAATGAAATGGAAAACAGGGTATCAAGACTGGAAGATAAAGTGGATGAACTAGGCCACTCAAAGATTATGAAAATTTTAAGAAATCACAAGAATGGAATATGCAGGAATTGTGTGACACCATAAAAAGACCAAACTTACAAATCACAGGCATACAGGAAGGAGAATCCCAAGATAATGGCATGGACCAGATTTTCAACAGAATTGTATAAGAAAATTTTCCAAAATTAAAGAAAGACATGCCCATACAAATACAAGAAGCATATAGAACACCAAACAGACAGGACCAGAAAAGAAACTCTCCATGGCACATCATAGTAAAAACACTAAACGTACAAAACAAAGAGACAATACTGAAAGCTGCAAAAGAGAAACAACAAGTCACATATAAAGGAAACCCATTAGGATTACAGCTAACTTTTCAGTGCAAACTATGAAAGCCAGAAGAGCCTGGACCAAAGTATTCCCAGGTTTAAATGACCACAGATGTCAACCCAGACAAAATGTCTGTTATACTCAAAGGGGAAAGAAAAATCTTCCATGACATAAATAGGCTGAAGGAATTCATGTCCACAAAACCAGCCCTTCAAAGAGTTCTGGAAGCAATACAAAGAGCTGAACATTAATGGACTGAACTCCCCAGGGCAAAGACACAAACTATTTGAATGGATTAAGAAACAAAAACCTATCTTTTTGTTGTCTGCAAGAAGCTCATCTCACTTTCAAGGACAGGCACTACCTTAGGTGAAAGGATGAAAAAAAAATCCCAAGAGAACTGTATTAAGAAAAAAGCAGGTGTTGCACTTCTAATATCTGATAAAATAGGCTTAAAAGCTAATCAGAAGAGCTAAAGAGGGCCACTTCATTCTGATCAAAGGAACAATAAATCAAGAAGATATTGCAATCATGAACATATGTTCACCAAACTCTGGTACACCCAACTTCATAAAAACAATGCTACAGGACGTTAAGACCCAGATTAATCCCAACTCATTAATAGTAGGGGACTTCAATACTCCACTGTCTCCATTACATAGGTCAACAGGGCAGAGAGTTAACAGAGAGACATCTGAATTAAACAATACCATATATCAAATACCATATACCAAATACATAACAGACATCTACCGAGTATTCCACCCAAGCACCAAAGGACATACTTTCTACCCAGCACCTCATGGAACCTGCTCCAAAATCAACCATATACTGGGGCATAAAACAAATCTCAACAAATACAAAAAGATTGAAATAATTCCATGCATTCTATCAGACCACAATGCAATAAAGCTTACAATCAACACCCAAAGAAGCCCTAATCACCACATGA